ACTTGAGTTTGCATTTGCGTAACTTTTTATCAAGCTTTTGTGCCTGTTCATCGACTGCATTCTAAAAATATTCTTATTATGAACATTTAATATTACTGGAATTGATGAATAGAAGTTAAATGTGTCTCACAATATAAGCCTTATGAAAAATGTCTTAGTTCATATCATAGTGAAATTATTTATAACTAGATCCTTTTAAAGGTCTGTCTATTCTTGTATGTACTGTGCAATGATTATATCTATAGCCCGTTTTCATAAATAAATTTATAGTAAATGTCTACATGGCTGGTATTTTTAGTACAAATCTTAAACTGTTTAACTTATACATATAAATAATACATGAACCCCGGCTTATATAAGGCAAAAAGAAATATTATTGTATATTGAAGCGCTATGTACCAAACAGTTAAGCTAATAATAACAAAAAAATTAAATACCTATGTTATTTTTATGGGAACAAATAAACTGATGTAGTTTGCAAGCTTATGTATATACTGTATTTTATTCAAATTTGGCAATTTTGTTTATTTCATACCAAGGTATCAAAATGCCAAAAAGACCCCATTCTTATTATTTTTTCTGTAGCAGCATACCTAAGTACTCATTAAAATAATGCAATATAGATAAACAAATTTACAATTTTAAGGAAGTATTTTAATAGTCCAGGCAGGTATATAGTAATCCGCCTAGTCTGCAGGTTTGCTGCGGTGGGAGTATTTTATCTTCCGGTCTCCTTTCTTTAATATATACGTTACGTAACGTGTTATGTTATGTTAATTTGGGTTGTTAAGAAAACAAAATAGTAGTCCATTGACTACGTAATTTGAACTTAAATGCTTTGTGTATAACCGGATAAAAAGTCATGTATAAAGAGCGTACTGGTTCCAATATAATTTAAGATTACGTGAAAATATGCATACACAGAACTATCACTTACAAAAACTAGGTTGTTGTGTTCGTTACAATATTCAGTAAAATAAACCTTTAGAATCAAAACGTAAAACTTAACCTCTATTCTGATATTATTTAACGTATTGACGTATATTCGTTTAACATTCTATTTCTTCGTAAAAATATATGCCTATAATTATTTTCAATTTTAATCGATACATAACTTAGACTTAGGTGTGTATTTTAATGAATTACTCAAATTCATTAAACAGGTGAACTAAAACAGGTTCGATATCAGTTTTCTTACCTTAAAACTACATTTTTTATTACTAAACGTTCATCTTAAGTTAACCATAAAAGTGTTTTGGCTATAAAGACTTACAAAGTAACACGTTTTTTTGTCTTTTATGTAATTTAATACCAATTAACTTTTTCGATGGATATAATGTCCTAAACAACGAAATTTCGTTCTAGTTTCGCCAAGATGGTGGACAAATCACTTGGATCTTCTTTGTATTTTATCGATAGGAAGAGATAGCAATGACAAAATAGCCTGTCTAGCCGTAGCTTTAGATTGCAGTTGTAGGTCGAGAAACCTTCTACCAATATTTCATGAAGAGACCTTTTTACCGAATAACCCATTTGTGTAAAGACAGTACAGTTTTCTTCTATTGTTGTGGTTAAGCAAGAATTTAATTTAATGGATTTAAGCTCTCGAAGTTAGTAAGTGTTTATGAAATGTTTTCAGTGCTATTTGTACTGCAAGGGTATGCAAACCTTATGAAATGTACATTGTAATAGTTCTCTTCTGGCCAGCAAAATACACCGAAGTTCAACGGTAGTATCTAATAAAATTGAACAAATTCTACTGCATAACATGATTGACAATGTGCCCAGGACAGATATTGTCAAAGCCACTGGTTATGAAACAGAAAATGCCTTAACGTAAACAAAAATCATTCAATCGAAAAATCACTCCCAGTTATTTATTTTATTTTTTTTTATCCTGACATGACATTTACAATTGCAAACTATTATTAATGGCAGACCCTAGATATATTTTCTTCTATTTTTCATCTGAAAGAAGCTAATGATAGTTGGAATGCGAAGTTTGCACAGATCCACTTTGCCTCAAGCCTGCAACTGACTGCGTTGTTGTCTTTAACTCTGTGTCTCTAATTTATAGTTATTAAGAATTAAATTAAACATCAGTTGTTTGATTGCCAATAATATTATTTGATTATTTACAATAATCACATATCACAAAATAGTTTCGAAATGAGGGACAAGGATGATATTAAATTTGATCGAAGACATGTTTTAACATTTAATTTCAAGTGTTCAGTTTAACCTATGGAATGATAAGTAGATTGTATCTATGACACAAAAAATATAGTGCTTATGAAACATGATAGCTCTCAATTTCAATTTGTTCTAAAAGACCAAAGGTTGAATTTTTATGTGAGTATAAATAATGACCTAAATTTAAGTTGTTTGTATAAAAACAATGAATTTTCATGTGACAAACATTATTTTAAGCTCAAATAATACAAAAGGTGATTTAATATTATCACATAAGAGCGTACGAACATATTTTAGTCAACTATAGTATTTTATGGCGTAAAAATGGGGTTTGTTTTGTTGGCCCTCAAAAGATAGAATATTGCACCAATATGTAGGGATAAAAAATTTAATATATTGAAATATTGCTGTATGCTTAATGGTAACCTATAAAATTTCCAAGTAATGCTTATATAGAGTAAGTAAACTGTTTTAGTTTTCTTTTTCAGCTTAAAATCATTTATTTTATACATAAATGTTATTGACATTTCAATTGAAAGCTCACTTAATTGCCTTCCATGTTAGTAGCAGTAAACCTAAATACCTACTCCTGTTATCTAAACAGGGAATAAATAGGATATATTTAAGGAAATATTATATTGAAAACTTAAGAGTTCAATACGACTATTAGAAATTGGCTTAATTTGCAGGTTTGTTGTAGCGTTAATGTTTTATATTAATATGGTTCTGTTTAGTTGGTTTTTAATTATGGTCGTTTGGATTTTTTTATTTCATACAAACAAACTTTGAAAAGTATAGATAGTCATATTGAATACAATGTTTTGGTCTTTTGATAATAATAATTAAATAGTGTGGTTTGTATAGTTACAATAATAAAAAAATTGTTTAAGCTTCAGAATATTTAGTTTAATATCAATGTAAAGATTCTTAAATATTATTCATCTACATACACCATCTTGATTACTTCAATGCTTCAACAAATAATTCAGTCATTCTTCCTGAATCATTATACTATAGTTTTGTGGATTGTTTTTCTTAAACACCAAACTCACATATTTTAACAATGAATAATGGTTGAAAGTTTGAACCAAAATACGAAAAAAATTCATTCAAAATAGTTTATCACATTTGGTGCGATGAAAAGAGCAAATACATATAAACCACGTGGATAAATACATAGATTTAACTTCGCATCGACTATACAGTCAGAAGTAGTTTTTGTGTGAAGTAACCTTTTCATTGATTTCACGTCATGAGGGTTTATGGTCGTGACGGTGGATAGACACAGTATTTTGAGTAATAGCAATCTTTCTTTCCCATTCAGATTTGATAGGTTTAAGGTCAATCATGTCCCAATGAGAGAATCTGTTTGACTTCTAGTTTTTGTTCAATTTTAAAACGTCTCCAAAATTATAATGTAATGTCATGTGCTTAACTTTACTAATTTGTTAAAAATGCTTAGAACGATTTTCGTTTATCATTCAGAGCTGTTTTACTATTCAAATCACGACCTACAACGAGACACGATTGCAACAATGAAATATTTAATTCAATCTTCAACCTTAAATAGATTCATTTCAATTCAATATTGTATTAATTGGAATTCTACTTGTCGTCTTGAAATATGCTTGCCTCATACACTGCTGGATTTTCTTTTATTAGAAATGTAATAATATGTTCTGGAAGTTTGGAAAAATAATCATACTTGACAACCCTCCAAATTCTTGGTATACGTTTATTGATGTGAAAACAAAGTATTACACTTCTTAGGTTCTTGGAATGTTACATATTTTGGTACATTTTTCATTAATCTTTCTGCCGTGAAATTAGATATTGCTGTCACTCGCAAGAGCTCACTTATAATCAGAGTGAAATGTTGTGAGCAATAAAATACTTCTGAACAAAATATACTGTATTACTTGGAAGAACGTTTTTGGAGTCTAACAATTTGTCCTAAGACATATCACAAGTTATGATCATATTATATCAGTCTGCGATTCTAAACCGTGAAATTAGATATTGCTGTCACACGCTCATAATAACGGTAAATTGTTGTGAGCAATAAAATTCTTTTGAACAAAATATACTTTATTTCTTGGAAGAACGTTTTTATCTGTTGAGTCTAACAATTTGTCTTGAGACATATCACAAGTTAAGACCATATCAGTCTGGGATTCTAAACCCTTAGGTTTATAGATTTTTAAATACAATTATTTAGAAGGTAGGTAGGAGGGAGGGAAACTATGATAAAGGGTTTTGCTACGATGCCTATACAATAATTCATTCCAATAGTTTATAAAGCATGATAAATAGTATATATATATATTTTTTTTTTAGGGAGAGGTGGGAAAATGCATTTATGCACACAGGTTGCTAGCCTGTAGTGTGGGACTCCAACGGGCTTAAGGCCCAGAGGCTACCCACTAAAAACCTCCTCTACTCTTCGGACACTAGCCTGGGAACACTTGTCGCACTTCATCAGAACTAGGCCGAGTTTGCCTACGACCGAGGGGCTTACACCGTGTCTAGCCGTTTATTTCTTATAAAATCTAGACTATGATCCGATCTAGATCGTTCTTTTCAGCTTGAAGGACATTCCGGACAAAGTGCGACCAGCAGTCCCAGTTGTCCTCACCCTTCAGCAAGGTCTCACAAATCGATTCAATCGACAGCACCCCAAGATGTTGAATGGCCTCCTGGCGAAGCATATCCCATCGTGGACAGCGGAAAAAAGTGTGTTCCGCGTCGTCGGGAATGCATGGGCAGTAAATGTAGTCAGGTGAATTCGTTTTGGCCATCAAGTGCAGTTACGACTGAAAATAGCCGTGACCTGACAAGAACTGCGCGAGGTAATAGTCAACCTCACCGTGCCGCCGTTCCACCCACGGTTGGACCTGTCTGATGAGTCTGGCAGTCCAACGTCCTCGAGTCTCCCTTTCCCAGCTTTCTTGCCACATCTGAAAAGTGCGGGAGCGCTCTTCCGTTCTTGCAGCGTCCTTTCCGATGTAGCCTTGTCTCTGGTAGATTGCCTTCCTCTCCGCTGCCAAGAGTTTGACAGGGATAACTCCAGCAATCACCAAAACGGCGGGTTCGGACACCGTACGGTACGCGGAAGGGACCCTGAGTGCCGCCTGACGCTGCACTCGTGCGAGCCTCACCCTGTACGCCTCCTTGTTAAGCGCGTCTACCGTAGGGGGCACGGTAAGATCTAGGCACGGGACCGATTTACTTTCCATTTTGATGTAACCATAGGCCAAAACACCATTCGTTAAAATGTTTATATATGTATAAATATATATTCTATATATATTTGTGTGTGCGTGTGTGTCCGTGAACGCGATAACTTCAGTAATTTTTGTCCGATTTTGATGAAATTTGGTTTAAAGGTTTAAGGCGGGATAAACTAGAATGAGTTAACGAGCCAGCATGATCGGACCATGGGAACGGGGGTATACGGGATGTTTTATGGGTTAAAATTGATTTTCTCATTTTTGACCCTCAAAACCAAAATTTTCCAATTTATCTTTAGACACTATTAAAGAGCTTAAAACAACAAATGATTTAGTATTTCAAAGTGGTTTTGTACAATTATTGGTAAAGGAGAAAATTCAAAAAAATTGTAAATTTTAAATTCCATGTTATTCTCATGTAGAATATTGAAAAGGTTGTAGTTTGCTTGTTTATGGATATATTTTGATAGAACTTGGCAAATTTATTTATTACTAAGCTATTAATATTTTACTAAAACACACTTTATTAGTTTTAGTTTCCTTGTAGCAGCAAACCTAGGTACTCGTTAAACCTAATGTTATTTAAATAGATTTAATTAAAAATCATTCAGAGAAATGGAAATTCGCTTAGTCGGCAGGTTTGCTGTGGCGGGGGTATTAAATGTATTTCATTAGCTAAGCCCCTAATGAAGATAAGAGAGACTACTTGCCTCAATTTAATATCCGTGTTATGTCTTTCCGTAGTTACCATAGATTCCCAATCAAGATTTTCATTATGGAACGCTCAGGGCAGATCGGTGGCCTAATTTGTTACCTTGAAGTCAAACTAGTCGTGGATGAAAAACATTTATTTGTATTTAATATACGCTGTTTTTAACCAGCGTAATGTTTTGGACATAAAAAAATACAAATAATGGTTTACATACACGTAAATCAGTCTAAGTAAACACTTTAATGTTATAAAAATACTTAACATTTATATAGTATTTTAATGTTGTTTAAATTATTAAGGTATTTATTATTTATTACGTTACTAACTTCTTTTGGCGGGTTTGTCCAACCTGCCTATTTTTTAAGTATGTTGTAAATGTCATCTTGGGTCTATGTATTACATCCATGTATTCATACTTGTGTAAACAATCTTGTTTTGATGTACATATTGTAAAAATGGCTGCTTGCCGTAGAAATACATAAATAAATAAGGCATTTTCAGTAAGTCAGAGTATTTAAAAGATTATGTGAACTGATAGGATAAATACAAATGTCTCGACCAACGTCTTGACTGATCCGTTGCCTGTGTTGTCGAGGATCCTTCAATGGCCATCATGGTTCAAAAATATTGTCAGTATAAAAACAAATTGTTATTTCAAAATTTACATTTTTGTAAGTTAATATTTAAATTTGAATTTTCATCCGTTTCAAAATCACAAAGACAAAAGTAACTAATATTGCTGGCAATTTTACATATTGGTATTTTTAATATTATTATCACATAATGCACTAACAAAACGGATAAACTAACTGAATGCATAAATATGGATCGAAATTTGTTTTGGTCAAACTATAAAATAACAGGAAATACCTCAAATAATACAGTTAAATTTGAAAAACAAAACAGTAATATATTGGAAACTGCATAATAAGTACAGTATTAGCTTTTAGATTTATTTAATTTACTCGTATGTAAACCTATTGGTAACAAAACTGTCAGATAGTTTAATCAAATGTTCCTTTATATTCAGTGTTACAAACAGAGTGGAAAAGGATGACAAATGCCGATCTGTGGAATGATTGACTGCAATACCAATATGCAACATTGCAATATTACTGGCAAAGCAAACTTTACCCAGATATGTCAAGCGATGCTCAACTACATTTAACACACAGGGATGTTGTGTTTATCTTTATGTTTAGCAGTTCATGTTGACCCTGCGATTTCAAAATTCATTTTTCCAAATGAGTGTCTTTCATATATAATAAGCTGATTAATGGATAACTTTGAAAACTAATTAGTCCTTTTTTAAATTAGTCAAGCATGACATTTATTCCGGATATTTTTTATAATTGCTAAAGGCTTAGTAATTTACCTTACGAAAACTTCGATAAAATCTATTGTAAGCGTTTCAAGAAACTCTTTAACATAGCATAGCCTATGACTCTGGTTTTTATTGCCTGTAAATCTATCAGAGTAGTGCATTGGAAATCGTAAAATGCTACCAGTTGCTTCGCTGCTATTTCTAGTGGCATTTTAAAATTAATTTAACTCAGGAAATGTTTAAGATACAACTAATTTATGAGTTTGAGATGGACACTCTCAAATACTACGTGTTTTTCATTTTTTTAGGATCATTAACGATGCATTCAATATATCATTCTTAAGTTATCTCACCTGCTGAAACATATAACACTTTGACGTTTAGTACTAAACCTGCTGAACTGTATTTTAAATGCATATAAGTTAACATAGCAATTTCGAAACCATTGTGATTAATGTTTAAAGATTATAACTCTATTGGAAAATTAAAGTTGCATTATTATAAAAAAAAACTTTAGTCACACACACACTTATTTAGGCCAAATAAAATATTTTATGGGAAATTATTAAGAGGTATTTATATTTAAAGTTATAGTTTTTTAGTATTTTTCTGTCCAACAATTATCTCAACTATAAAGGAATATTTTTATTTATAATCAACCTTAATGAAGGTTTAGATTACAGTAAACATGAATTCGTAGCCTTTTTCGAGCTTATAAGGAAAAATCTTGAAATTGTTATCAATACAGTATGTATAAATTATTCAATGTATTTTAATTGCATTGTATTAATCATAAAAATTAATTTTAACACATATTTTGACAGCCTTCAAAATATTAAAGGTGTTTACCTAAATACTACTTTATAAATCTGCTCAAATTCGTTCCTGTTAGATTATTCTTTTACAATTGTAAAATAAAAGGGGAAAATATACAAAGAACTGATGTTGCACTTCCCAAAACACGTCCTTTTAAGATTGGTAAGAAAATTGCGAGTTTGCACCAAGAGAACGGCAATCTAAAGTTATGGCCGGGAGGGTATTTTGTCATTGATATCTCATGCCACTATCACTAAAAGACTTGGAAATAGCTAAATCATTCGTCCTACGCCATATCGCATGAAGAAAACCCCCAACCAGTTTGTTCGTATTTGTAAGCTACGTACAAAAAATATATCTACTTTAATTTTGTATAAGAATCGGAGAAAGATTTTTTAGACCTACATGCTTTATGCAGGTTTATTTAAGGTATATTACAAAAGACAATTCCATAATTTTGGTTAAGTTAGGTGTTTATTGCATACTAGTACAATTTTGCCTGGCTGGACCAGCCCTGGAGCTCTTTTTGGAGTCCCGAGTTTAAATCCGGGAAATCACCATAAATCTAATCGGCATATCAATCCATCCGAAAAACAAATTAGGATTTGACGTCTCAAGTAAGAAGGTCTTTTTCTGTATTGTTAGGTTCTTGAACTAAAGGTCTTAATTAATCTGTTCGTTATACTTGTTAAAAGGAAGGCCCACACCCAACCTATGTTTACTAATATATTAAAATGCAGTAAATGCTTATGGCATGTCGTTGTTAACAAAACAAAATGGTGTGTAAAATCTATAACTATTCAACAAACAGGATTTCTGGCAACACTTTAAATTATAGAATCAATATGTAGTTTTTCGTGTAGAGTTTATGGGTTTGTTTTGACTGGATATTGTAAACGAACTAAACAACCTTGCACATAAGTTCTGTTAGCGATATTACTTTCCCACTTACGTTTTTATGTGACCATAAACTGTATTCCAACGAGTACCTTATCTTACCTTGGTTTAGTATCCAAATTACACTAAACGGTAGGTAAGTTGAAAGAAATAGTATACATACAGGTTATATTAGTTTACAAATTAACCAATCGTATAGTATATCTTTGAAGATGGCACAGTTAAATATGACAAAAATGAGAAGAAACTTAACATCTGTTAGTTTTTATACATCAATTTCATTTTAATATTTTCATTCTAAAGCTCCTTTGACCATGATATTATATAGCCTAATAACATCTTCTTTTTACCAAAATGTCTATATCAATAAATAAATTATATCCTACGAGAGTTTATAGTTATAAAAGGTTGTAATAAAAGGTTCAATAATTATGAATTCAAGGTAATTGCGAGGAATTGTGATAATTAAATTAAACTATCAGCAACGTTAAGTATCAAATAAGTCATTTTTATCGTATTGTAACATGACGAATTAAGAGGCTTCCACCAGTAATAGTATCTAAAAAGTACTAGTACTACGACTTCACTACGCCCACAAGGTTTGCGTGCCTCTTATAATATTGCCCCTGTTTTTGAGATTGTTTGTAATGATAAACTTTTTTACGTCTAAATACATCGGCCTTTAAAAATTGAATCCTGAAATAAATTTAACCTGAATATTAGATGGGTTCACTAGTCTAACTATTATAGTTCTATCGTACAGTTGGTAAAGTTGGTAGCCTTGAATGCAAAAAGTTAATATTTTTCCACAAGAAAAAAACATCACGGACAATCTACTCGTTATTTATGATTATAGCTTTGTTTGTAAACAAAACTTTTTATTAAATTATTAATATCTTAATTATCCTAGTTTTATGAGCATAGTAACCAGCACAAAAATTTTACTTATGAACAAACAATCCAAATAATTATAATTTTAAACGTAAAGTCAGAAAGTGGCATAAGTTGTTTGAATCACCGTAAACAGCTTATTTTTAAATTGTGTATCTTTACTGGTTAATTATTAATTTAATGTGCACTGAGATTATATATCTTACCAATATTGGCAATACATAACCCCCTCCCCATTTAATTTCCTATGGAAGATGACCATAACAGCTTCTTAAAAAACGTAGGGTGCCGTTTATCTTTATCTTTTTCTTAAAATATATACATTTTACTTATTTTTAAAGCGGAGCTCTGAGGAGTGGACCTTGT